TTCCAAGTTGTTAATCGTTGATTACTTTTAGCTTGTGGTTTGGTGCGTGATATTTCATTATTGCTTAGTATACTTGAGGTTGTATACTTGTACTCTATATACGTTTATATTGCTTAGTATACTTAAGAATGTATACTTGAATGTATGTCGCGTTTCTTTTTCAATATTGTTTAGCGTACTTGGTGTGTACACTTGTATATTGATGATTTAGTAAGGTAGATAACCTAGTATACCTATGTCTCGTATACTTGTTTTACGTGCATTTTAATATTAATTGTGTACTTTTGTATGTATACTTGTATATTGAATATCGTGTTACATTATACCGCATGATCTTATGTTATTTAAATTGCATGCATGATGTGGTTTATGCTAGAAATGCTTTAAAGTAGCTTAGGATGATCCTTGAGTCTCACTTTTGACATAGATGTTAGGTGGCATGAACCTTATGAATTGTTTCACATTAATGTGATAATCATGTAAAACGTTAGGTCTATTCATGCTCATTCCCTACGAGTAATACAGGTTACTCACCCCTCGCTGAATGCAACCTGTTTCAGGTAAAAAGACGTGGTTTAGGGATGCACAATATCCCTTGGATGTTTTGTAGACTTGAAGTATTTCAATTCATGCAAATGTTAGCATGAAATATTATTTTTGATTTAAAATGTCAAAACTTGTATATTTTGTTCTAAATATGTAATGAGCACTTAAGTGCACCATTTGGGATGTATTTGACATGTGATGAGGCCATGGGCTAAGGACTTTTATTTTGAATTCTATGTACTTTTACTTTCATGCTATTTTATTGAAAAATAGAAAAATGGTATGCTTTTACTTCACTACATTTGCATGGGCGGTGGGAAGTGTGCTTTAGCACCTTTTATATGGTCTCTTGATTTATATATGAAGTGTGGCCAAAGGCCAAATGGTCTTTTGAAACCATTTTATAATTTTAAGTTTCAAATTTTCTTTTAAAAGTCTATTTTAGGCATTTTTGAGGTTCGGATAGGTCGTATTTTGCATCGGGCCTATATGGGGCCCACAGGTCATTCCTGTGCACTTAAAACCACTAATTACATTTGTGTGCATAATCGTTTTAGCCAAGAAATCCATTTAGGGTCAAATGAACACTTGGTGCAAAGTTATATTTTCATTATTTTTGACCTAAACTGATCTAAGGGCATACTGGGCATTTCACAGTGCTTTTTAAAATTTTCTTTTGATATGGTCAGGAAGAAAACTTAATTTTAACGGGGGTTTCTTCTTTGTGTTTTTGCAAAAAAATTCGTTTAGGCCTTCGAATCAGCTCTCAGTTCAAGGAATTGCAGAAAATTTCACACAACAGCCTTGTCAGCCATGCGTGCACCTACCGCTCGTGCATGTGCTCAGCCCTGCACGCGGTGCTGTTCTTTCGCACCTGCGCGCGTCCTCCTTACGCACGCGCGTGTGGCATACACATGGGGGCTGCCTTGATGCCCCCTTGCCGCACCAACCTTATATTTTCAAATTATTGTTTCTTCTTCATCTGGACTCCATTTTAGGCAATTTTTGAGTCTAACTTGACTAATTCTTCATTGTCCATCTAATATTATGCTCGGTTGCACTTGGATATTTTCAGAACTTACCATTTTGCCCTTGGGGGCTAAACTTGTCTGGTTTTCTTTTCATGTTGCTTCCACTATGCTTTCTTTTGAGTTCCGTGACTTCATGGGAAGTCACGGATGTGTCTTGGGAATGATCTACATTTTCAGAGATGTCGCTAACTATTTTGCCCTTGGAGCTTATTTGGTCTTTTTTGATCTTTTTCTTCCACGTTAGTTCTCTTTGAGTTCTGTGGCCTCATGGAAGGTCACCTTGGCGTCCTAGGGATGTTGTATATCCCTAGAGATCTTGTTTATGTTTTTGCTTCCGTATTCAGATCCGTTATCGGGTCAATCTACGGTTCATCACAAAACGTATTGGCTTGAAAAACCAGGGCCGTCACATAAAACACCCCGAAAGAAAAAAGAAAAGAAATATACAAACATGTTTTTCATATAAAATAAAGACATACACGGCCAGTAAAATACAAAATAACGTAATGCACGTGGTGTCGGAAATCGTTTCCGTACACCGAAACCTACTTCGGGTTAGACAAAACCCTTAGGTCACACGAAAAAGATTAAATCAAATGATTAAATAATTAATAATCATAAAATAAATAAATAAAATCATGACAAAAAATCGGAAAAGGAAGAAAAGACAGGGTCATCACATATACATCCTGTACAACCTCTAAAACATATGAAGAATATTAGAATAATACAAACAGGAACAAAATTTTTGTAAAAAAAAACCCCATATTTTTTGTAAATTAATAGATAAAATAGTAAATAAAATAGGAACAAAATATTGGTCACAAAAAACTAATTACAAACTCTATATCCAACAATATAACTTTTTGCCCAGCAGGCTGCAGTTTAAAAAAAAAAAAAAAAAAAGAAAAGGAGGAAAAAAAACTGCTGGGCAAGAGTACTTAATAGCCTAGCAGATTTTTTATACACAGCAACCCTAATTTCGATTTAAACAGCTTCCACAAAAATATATTTAGAGAGACTTTTTCATATAATATGCAAACAAATGTAGAAAAGGTGATGCATTATACTACAAAATACAAGCCATTCTAAACGTCTAAAATTGAGAGGAAAAAGCAAACTCAATACAAGAACAAAGTCAGTACAAAAAGATTTAAAGAGAGATTAAGGTTTCAATTGAAGATTTTCTCATCAAACCAACAAATAAAATCAAAAACAGAACAAAGATATAAAGATATATATACACACGAATAAGATATATAGATATATATACACACGAATAGATTAATATATATATATATATATATATATATATATATATATATATATAAAGAGAAAAGTGTGTTGAGAGAGAACCTGAGATGTGTGGAGACCAAAGCAGAACAAAGATACTGGTTGGTCTTGAAAAATCACGAAATCAGAGTAGAACAACCAAATCAACTAAATTAGCCGAACAATGGTTGGTCCAGAACTAGGGTTTCGAAATGATCATGGTAACAAACTTAGGGTTTCAGAGAGGTAGAGATGGTTATGCAAAGAGTGTGAGTCGTACGCAACAGAATATTTAGAAAGTTTTGATTATTTTAAAAATAGATCTTGTGTTTTTCTAACTTTCTTTATTTTAGCAATTAATAAATTAATATCATGCAATATAAAATAAAGCAAAGTAAAGTTAGAGATGACACCAGGATTTTTAGCGAGGAAACCCCAGTTGATAAAATACGTCAATTGTTTGCGTGGGAAAAATCTCGTAAACTATACAGTCCAAAGTAAATTGATCCACTATGCTTGAAACAAAATACACTGAACTTTGACTCTGGCTCGCACCCTATCGTTCTACCAAACACCAATTGCTGACAATCCTCTGACTTTGTGACTCTTCGTCCAACAGCAACTTGACCTTAGGCTTATGCTTGATCTTTGTAGAAGAGTAATAGGTAGATCAGACAACACTTCTCGAATGCTCCAACTCCTTCAAAGTGTGATCGCTTTTACTTTTATTCTTCAATTTCTGGGTTTGATGTAGAAGTAGATTTGCTTTGCCTGATCGATGTAGATGCAACTGTATGATCACGATCAGGATTCGAACAACACAATTCTAAAATCATTATGTGAATATATGTGTGTTCTAGAAAGACAAATAAAAAAATCTCTAAGATTTTCAGAGACAAAAATATTCCTAAGGCTTTTAAGAATAATAAACTGATAATGCAAAAGCCGTAAATAAACCTATGTGTATGACAAGGTTTATATAGAGTTTAAAATGACCTAATCCCTCTGAAAATATGAAAAAAATCGTGCATAGGATTTGGTACAATTCTAGACCAACTAGGAAACAATTCTAAAACAGGAAACTAAAAGTTGGAAACTGACCAGGACACCTTGAACCGGTTCAGAGGGGTTGAACCAGTTCAAGTATAGCAGAAACTTATTTCAAGGCCAACTGAAAACCTTGAACCGATTCAGAGAGGCTGAACCGGTTTAAGTATGCCAGACTTGAATTTCCTGGTTCACTAAAGCTGAAAACACTATATGGTAAGATTTTGAAATAATACTAAGTGCAGAATGTGTCCTAATCGTTTAAAATTTCTTCCTAGTGTGTTGTTCTTACCTTTCTCGAATAATCTCGGTTATGGTAACTTGGAACAACCTTTCTATTCCGCAGTCACTATCGATCTTGATAACTTGCATTACAAGTAACTTGAATCACAACTCGACTTGGACTTGTTTTGTTTATGATAATTTCCAAATACAAAATACTATCTCACAAAGAGAAGAAATGAAAGATTAGAAGAGAGTGTGAGAGAGAGACGGTATGTGGTTGATGGTTAGAAGATTAGGGCTATGAATGGATTAGGGTTAATCTAGCGCCAAGTGGCGCTAATTTGTGGCATTTAACTTTCAGGAGCAATTGTATCATTTTGACATGTCGGATATTTTGTAATAAATCTGAATTTAATATTAAGGGGTAATTTTATCTTTTCATACGATTTAAGGTCTTTTTTGAATGGATTAGGGTTAATCTAGCGCCAAGTGACGCTAATTTGTGGCACTTAACTTTCAGGAGCAATTGTATCATTTTGACATGTCGGATATTTTGTAATAAATCTGAATTTAATATTAAGGGGTAATTTTATCTTTTCATACGATTTAAGGTCTTTTTTGGATAGAATTTTTTCAAGTATCATTATTTCAAAAACAAGTAAGTTGTATTTGTACGTCATTTTGACAAACTTGGGGGAGGGGAGTTTGGTGTACTTTACCCGTTATTTGTGCTACAATTTAGTGGCCGTGTATTTCAACTTTATGTAACGGAGTTAAGGTGTTTGTGTTATCAATTAGTGGCCGTGTATTTCAACTTTATGTAACGGTGTTAAGTATATTACATTATGGAGAGTGTTAACTATATGTTGGACCAGACCAAATTTTTTTACATGAGTACTGCATAACTTATGCTGCAGTGAACATCACTTTTCTCTCTGAAAGCATCAAAGCTAACAGACAGGTCGTCTTCGGCTACAATCAGAGCGCCAAAAAAAATAAAAAAAAATGTCTCCAAATAAGAAAGGCAAATCGAAGGGCAAGTCGGCCGAATCGACTCAATCTCCAGCCGATGTAAACACCAACAAATTCCCCTCATGTATTCGTTTTGTTCCTCCCTCTTCCGTCGCCATAACCATCCACGCAAAGCCAGGCTCCAAACTTGCCACCATCACAGGTGCTCTCGCTCTCTCTCTACAGTGTTCATGCCCTTTCACCCTCTCGACAAAATTTTCTATATCCTCTATATATATATGATTTTGATGATTTCTCATGAATCCAGATTTCAACGACGACGCTTTAGGCGTTCAAATTGACGCTCCTGCAAAGGACGGAGAAGCCAACGCCGCACTCCTAGATTACATTAGCTCGGTATGTACTCTGTATTTTTTAATTTTTAAATACTTTTTAATCAGCATATTTTAACACTAGCTCAATATTTTTTTTTAAGCTAACACTAGTCCATATTAGATACTTGTGTATATTATGTATTTTGGTTATTGGAGCCAAAAACAATATAACTTTTTGCTTTTAAGATCAAGAGCAAGAAATTTTAAGTAGTTGTCGCATGCAAATTTTAGGGAAGCAGATTTCATTTGAATTTTGTGACACAAAATGGATATCAGGCATTAAAATGTGTAAATTACTTACCAAAACATGTGTAAAATATGTTTTTGTGGTTTAGTTATATATGCAAATTTGTGGTCAATTACAATTCCATCAGGAATTGGAATAATATAGCATGTGAATTTATTTATGTATTTTGGAAAATGATAGAAAATTAGAAACGCGGTTGGATTACAAAAAACTTTGCTTGTAACGGGAAGAGACAGTTTTGGGTGCATATTTAATTGAATATTTTGATATGATCCCGTAGCAGGCGAGGGGTTGGTTTATGCCAATGTGAGAGTATACTATTTGTGGTCTTTTCTAGTGTGATATTTTAAGATGTGATTAAATTTACTGTGTTAGGATGAAATGTATTTTTTGGGGTCAAGAGTTTAGTTAACATTCTAAGTTGTAAGTTCTAGCCTTTTATGTATTAGTGTATTACGTGGTTTAGTGCATAAATACAAGCTTTATAACTTAGATCTTTTATATATTTTTTCAACTATTTCTTTTAATTGTTTGCTTTCTTTTAGAACTTGTGACAAAGGATAGAGCACTGAATTTTTTGAAGACATGGAGAGGAGAGGAGACATTAAAGTTTCTACCAATTGAGAAATTCCAAGTGATCATTCTTGTTAATAGTTACTGTTAACAACCATCTATTCTAAAAGCTTAAGTTGTTAGAGAGGGTGTAAGTTTAACATTTAAATTCTTCAACACGCCCCGTCATGTGTGGCCTTCTTTTGGTCCAACACATGTTTCAATTTTGATTCTCAGGGTGATGGTGGGGTTTGAAGCTCTGATACCATGTTAACAATCATCTACTCTAAAAGCTTAAGCTGTTAGAGAGAGTGTAACTTTAATATTTAAATCTTTCAACAATAAGAAAGATGTATGGATTTTGGACATTGTGCTTCTTGAAGGGTTGTAACCTTGAGGATAGGTTTTTTTTTGATAGATAGTTGAGGGTCATAGACCTCTTATAAATTCAAATTATGTTGGCCTTTAGATCTATTAAACATAAGACATGTAATATGAATATTGAGATTGGATTATTTGTAATTTAAGCTTGCTAGATTAGAATTTTGATGGTATAGGGTTAAGCAGAGAAATATGAGAGCTTTGTAAGAAATTTCTGCCTCATTGAGATGAATGTATGTAGATTAGTCCCCCTTTGAGTTAGATATTTGGATATCAATTTATAAATTTGTATATGTGCATCAATAATTACAAAATCACTTTCTTGGGATTAAACTTATGGGGTGGATGGAAAACTACTGAAGGTATATTATTAGGAGCAAGCACTAGTTGTAAAACAGAAATTGCTTTGAAGTGGTAATCCAATTGGTTGGCTGCTTCTAAATGAATGGTATCATCAGATAATGCAAACTCCCAAGGGATCTAATTTGGTGATTTTAACTTCTCTTTCTGTGCAGAATACTTCTATGTTTTCAGTTCCAAGAATTACAGTCTTGGCCAGTAGTATCTGAGATTCATTTCTTAACCTTTCAGTCTTCCTTGACTCTGACCTTCCCCGCACGCTTGCTTCAATAACTTCTTTAGTTGAATGTTATTCATCTTATTAACTTAATAAGATTAACATGTATGCAATTAAATATGAAACTGATAGTACTTTTCATTTGATGGGTAGTTAATTAGCAGTAGTTCATAGATTGAATTCATATTATGCTTTGCCAGCCAGACTTTGGTATCATTGTTGAGAGTAGTAGTTGTTTTTAGCCATTGGGTTTCTCAAATACCCAAATCTTCAGACATGAAGATATGGATGAATTATTAAGAGCTTATCATTTCTCTTATTTTATTCCCTACCAAAATGAACTTTACACATGAATTATGTGTCCGAGATGAAGGTTTTACTCATACTGAAGCGCCAGTGCAGTAATGAAGCATATCTAGAAATAATCTGATTCTTTTAATGGTACACTAGGAATATTTTCCTTTGTTGGACATACGTGTCAAGCATGCTTTAAATATTAGGCATTTCAGACGAATAACCCATTCTTTTACTCATGTTGTGCTGTCTGCAACATGAATATATGACACATATTTTAGAATCCAGAATCAGATAGGTCGGTTGAAAATGCTACTGGTATGGCTCCTCTCCATCACTAGGAGTCTTGTATGCCCCTCTGAAAATCCTTAACAAGATCTTTGAAAATTCCTCCATACCCTACCAATCAGATTTCCATCACCTGATGTAGGGTTAAGTGGCTGGTAATTCAAATAATCAGGGCTGCCATTTGTTGACAGTAGGGATATGGAATTTAAAATCAAGGAGAAAAGAAATTGAATAAGGACAGCCTATTGGAGTCACACCAATAAGCCTAGGCTTCACACCTCCTAATTTGTGAATCACTCACAGGGAATTTCAAAAGATGGTTTCTTCTGAAGAATCTAATCCCACCATTGAGACTTTTCTAACTTCAGTTGAAGAGGTTGGTGATAACGATGCTCAAATAAACCAAGGTTCTTAAAAGAACCCAAGGATGATCTGCATGTTAATCATTTTGTGGTTGGATATGATGATTTTGATAACAATTTTGTTGTTTGCACACTTGGTTGAGTTAAGATGATCGAAGAGCTGTGACTTTGACTGGAAATTAATTTGTTAGTAAACTGGAAATTATATACAGAGGCATGTTTCTCTAAAGTTTAAGCCGCTAAAGGTGTTGTCAGAGGAGAAAAATAATTTGTGTAATTGCTTGCCTCTGATTGAGTGCAGACACTTGTATTTATATTTACCAACTAGGGTTACAGTAAAGGAATAAAATAAAGTCAAATAAATTAAAATCCCTAATTAATTGTGATCCACTAATCACGGGACCCGGAATTACGGGGACAAAATAAAACGTGAATTCCAACACTCCCCCTCAAGCTGGAGCGAAGATGTCAATCAAACCCAATTTGCCAATTGAGGACTGAAGTAGAGATTGCCCCATTGACTTAGTAAACACATTGGCTGTTTGATCAGGTGAAGGAACAAACACTGGAACAATAGCACTAGACCAAACCTTCTCTCGAATGAAGTGAATATCAACTTTCATGTGTTTGGACCTCTCATCGAGAATAGAATCGGAAGCAAGCATTATAGCAACTTATTATCACAAAACAATTTGGAAGATTCTTTCATAACGAAGCCCAACTCAGTAAGAAGAGACTGAAGCCATAGAAGTTCACACGTGCCCTGTGCCATAGCACGATATTCAACCTTAACGGATGACCTAAAACACTATTGCTTGCTTCTTACTTTTTCATAATATAAGATGACTGCCATAGAAAGTACAGAATCCGAAGTAGAACGCCTGTATGTTTTGGACCTGCATAAGATGCAAAACATGACACTCCAAATTGACTACCTGATGCATAAAATAAGCTGAGGCTAGGACACGTCTTGAGATATCTCAAGATAATCCAAATTTGATGAACACAGAGCATTTATAAACTGACTTACAACACTAACTGCAAAAGTCAAATTCGGCTTGATATTCATCAAGTAAATGAGATGACCAACCAAATGTTGATACATAGAGGGATCAGTAAGCAAGTCATGAGATTTAGCAGAAAGTTTAAGATTCGGATCCATAAGAGTAGAGGCAGGTCTACACCCCATCATTCCTATATCCCGAAGAAGATCCAGAGCATACTTATGCTGAGACAAAGATATGCCATGATTTGACCAAGCAACCTCTATACAAAGACAATACTTCAAGGGATCCAAATCTTTTATATCAAAGAACTAACCTAGATCCTTCTTAGCAATTCCGGAGGTATGATCTCCAGTGATGATAATTATTGATTTAAGATATAATTAAAATCTAAAGTAAGTGATAAAGAAGAAGAAGAAAAAGAGAAGAAAGCGAATGAGAGAAAAGGAGAAAGAGATGGGGAAAGAGAGAAAGAATGAAAGAATACTTTCATCCTTCCACCACATTCTATTTATAATAACAAGTTTCAGAAATTACACATAAGCCCCAACATTATATAAGTAATAACAAATAAGCCCCTGACAACACTCCCCCTCAAGCTGGTGCAAAAATATCTATCATACCCAGCTTGACTGACATATTTTGCAAGCAAGTCTTGCTCACACCTTTAGTCAAAACATCAGTAACTTGATCATGTGTATTGACGTATGGAGTACAAATCAGCCCAAGACGAAGCTTTTCCATGATGAAGTGTCGATCGACTTCAATGTGCTTTGTCCTGTCATGTTGAATTGGATTGTGGGCAATGCTAATAGCACCCTTGTCGTCACAATACAACTTCATTGACTCGCGAATAGGATAACCCAACTCACCCAACATCGTACGTAGCCATAACAACTCACAAACTCCATGTGCCATGGATCTGAACTCAACCTCTGCACTAGATTTAGCTACTATAGACTGTTTCTTGCTTCGCCATGAAACAAGATTACCTCCAACAAATGTGCAATTACTTGAAGTAGATCGTCGACCTGTTATAGACCTTGCCCAATCAGCATCAATATAGGCTTCAACACGCAAGTGGCCATGACTGCCAAACAATAACCCCTTACCAGGTGAACCCTTGAGGTAGCGAAGAACATGATGAGCTGCCTCAAGGTGAGGTGTACGTGGAGCATGCATTAACTAACTAATCACACTAACAACGTAGGCAATATCTGGGCGCGTGAGAGATAAGTAAATCAGTCTCCCAACCAATCGCTAAAATCTTCCCACATCATCTAATGGGTCTCCATTTACATCATTAAGCCTATAGTT